TTTTTTTTTTTTACTAAGAAATCTTCAGGGTTTTTTTTTAATTTTTTTCCCTCTGGTTGAATGAAAATGATTTAACAACGGGGGAAAAAAAGCTGGTAATTAAATAAAGGAAAATAGCATCGCTAGGGTGAATTGCAATGAATAATCCTAGCGATAAGCCCCAGCAGGAAAACAGCTGGGGTGTCTTTGTACATAAACTACAGGCTCATTTTGGGTTGTGACACAGGTGTGTCTGCATCAGTACCACTCCCTGAACACACACAGGGAAGGAGTTGGGGGGTCGTCCCAAATTCACTTGCATTTTATTTGTTGAGATGGTGGTAAGACCCAGACCGATGTACCACAGGGCTCAGATTGACCTCCCTCTCATCTACCTGTTCAGCTTTCCAAACCACCCTTCTTAATCTTGAGGTACCACAAGTTTTAACTCAAGCTGCCATCCAGGATCAGGGTTTGGGAAGGCAAAAGCACCACGCTGATACGGCTCTTCACTGGGAAGAGCCCAGCAAAGGGATCTGGTCAATGATCCCTTTAAGCGGAGGTACGGCAACCCGCCGTGTCTCTGAGGCACTTTGCCGGCACCCAGTCCCCAAGCACTGTGATGGTGTTTCTCAGGCAGAAAGCCAACTCACCAGTTCAGGCCCAGCATAAAACAGGGCATTTCCTGGAGAGCAGCAGCTCCCCAGCACCTCGGTGGCCAACACTGTGCCCACAGCAGGTACTGGGAACTGAGAGAGGATGGGGACGTGCCCCCCGCCCCGACGGGTGGGGTAGCCTGGGGGTGCCCAGCCCATCCTCTGCTGCTGGCTGTGAAGAAGGGAGACCACAACAAACAGCTGCCATCTCCCAACTGGAAGCTTCTGCTTGCTCTTTGCAAGGTCCCACAGGTTTTACACCTCCTTAGCACCTTTGATGAAAGAGGGGCAGAGAAACAGGGGATTTTTCACTTGAGACAGCCTGAGGGTCCCTCGGAGAGGTGGCCCAGCCTGTGAGCTCTGCGCAGCTGTGAAAAGTTTGTCACCTCTTAAAATTGGCGGCTTGACTCCAGCCTGCCAGAATCTGGCCCACTGAGAAAAACTGAGGCACAAAGGGACAAGTGGAACTGTCCCCTGAGAAAAGAACAGATTGATTGCCACTCTGCCTCCCCCCACAGCGCTGGCACTGGGAGGCCCTTGGGGCCACCAGGCAGCTTGCCTCTCCAGGGTGAGTACTGCACAGTCTCCAGCACCTTCATTCCCCTGCAGCACCTCCCAGGAAGCTGGATGCACATGGTCTTCAATTTGCTGTCTCTACTGAGCTCACCCTCACATTTGGGTAGAGACAGGCACCGCTTTCTTCTCCATGTGGTGGAAAAGCTGATCTAATTATCTTCAAGGGTCCCATCACAGCAATTTAACTCAGAGAAGGGAGTGATGCTATTACCGGATCAAAACGGCTCTCAGATGAAACACCAATCTGATTTCGCCACAACTACTTCTTTTTTCTTCTACCTTGCTATGGATTAATGGCTAATCACTTGGTTAATTACCACCCCAAGAGCCTCTTGGCCAATTAGCTGACCTTGCAAGGGACAGCAAGAAGCAAATGGCTGCACAGAGGTGGCACTTCTCTATGGCTGTGGGGATAATCGCACCAATGGAGTAATGCTGAAGGGCCCAAGGATGACAGGAATGCACTACTGAACCTTGAACTTGCAGGGTATCTGACTGCTGTGCTAGGCAATACTGTCTAAGGATCTTCCACTCCAGACTTGCTGAAGTTCTGGATGAAAAATAGTCTTTTGACCCCTCTTCTGAACCACCCTGATGAGCTAAGTGGCTGAGCTATTTCCTAGACTTGTGTTCATGCAGTACTGGGGAGCAAAAAGTGTGATGTAGCAGAAAGGGAACTGTATATAGGCTCTAGCTTGGAAATACCATGTTGTTCTGCTATCTCCTTTTCTTTCTCTGAGTCCCACTGGTGTTTTTGAGCCCTGATTCAGACAATTGTGTGGACACAGTGTGAATGGGCAATGAATAAGCCAAGGAGGCTACATCTCAAAAAATGACATCTAAGTGCAAGGCTAATAACTCCCAAGGCATATTTCTTAGGACTCTTTGTTTGTATTTCCTGCAAGCCATACCTTAACTCAGGAACAGTTACACTGTCCCATTCTCTCCCAGGCCTGTCTGCTCCATTTGCAAGGCTTTGTACCTTTGATCTTTAGGACACAACTTCACTGCGGGCCAGGGCCCCGCAGTGCTGTGGAGTCAGTGCAATGTGAATTTGCCGGATCAGACCAGTGACCCCTGCCTGTTACTAATACAGAACATGAAAGCATTGCTGCTGGACCCTGCAGATTTTATAAAAGGTTATTTTATTGCAAATCCATCTCCTTGCAGCACGTATCTGTGCTGGGGGAAATTTGCAGAGGAGGGTCTGTGCCACCATTTTCCACTCTGCGCTTGGTCATGGACCACCCAGAGTTTGGTGTTGGAGACGTTGTCACAACCCTCTTTAGAGCCTAGTTGTGAAATTCAGATCTAAAGGATTATTCACTTGAGAGATGGACTTTGTTGAGCTTTAACTCTGAACCACAAACTATGCAGGATCCGCAGCATACCGCATGTTACATTAAAGTAAGCTGTGGCTAAGGCTCAGCAATGCTGCTCTGTCCTGATCCAGATTACAGGGTTCAGACTTTGGGGAATTAAAGCCCTGGTTATGTTGTTCTCCCAAGGCACTGGAAGGAAGTCATTCCCTCTGCAGGTTTACAAAACACCTAATAATCAGGCCCTACTAGTAATCAGAGATATGGAGAGATGTTAGAGATTTCATTTTCTTTACTGGGGGGTTGCTTGGTAGCCAGGTGCTCCTGGTGGCAGTGGACGGACAGGGGAAGGTTTAGCCATATTTTTTAAGGTTCAGCCCAAGAGATCCCGAGGGAATTTCTATCTGCCCTGTTTTGAGTGGACACAAAGCAGCCTTCCTGTGACATCTGGCTGTTCTGCCAGAAGCCAGGAAGCAGGGAGGGCTGGCAGGAACAGCAGAAAGATTACAGCGTAACAATCGGATTTCCCACTCCCCTACACCACTAACGCAATAGGAGCAAGCTACAAACTGTGGATGGCTCAGGCTGAGCTTCACATTGCCTGGACAAAGCACCACATGCTAAAGGAAAGCATTGGAGGCTGCCTAGATCAGAGATCTGACCTTGACTCATCTGCGTGGGTCTGACTCTCCACCTTGCCTTTTGTAGCAGGATAACCACTGGATGCTATGGAACAAAACCCAGCGGGTAAGGCAGGAGGAGAATTAGTCCTGCTATTTTTAGATGTGCATGATAATACAGCTCAGAAAACTGGGGATTTCTTTTCAAACAAAAGATTTATTTATACATCAAATTAAAAAAAAAAAAAGAAACAAAACAAAAACAACCTACGAGAAGAAAAATAATCCCCAACCCAGTGAATCTAATTTGGATATGGTCAGTGTCAGACAGGGGGCCCTGAAATCTGGAATCCCATTTATCCACAGAGCAGAGATAGCAGCAATCCAAGCCTCCCCATCACAATGCAGTGGCTCAAGGGAAGGACGAGATCAATACCCCAGGCTCGCTCCTTCCTGCCCTGTCTACCAAGCCTTTGCTTAGTAGAGGGATGTGGTATTGAAAAAGTGGCAATCAATGCAGACTAAGCAATATATCTAAGGGCTGGGGTTGTTGCTAGGAGAGTCAGAAAGAAGTGCCCTCTTGCTCTGACCCAAAAAAAAAAAAAGTGTAAACACATGACAATTAAGTCTTAGTGGTATGATAACATTTAGGGACCCGATCCTGTACTGCAGCCCTCAAAGACACTGGATGGGAGGTCTGCCCTGCCAGGCTCTGCAGACCAGAGCTGAAGGCAGTGAGTTTGTGGGAGAAGTGAAGCGGTATCGGTTGGTCCCCTTCCCCAGGCAATGGCAGCAAGGTGTGTGCACGATACACTGCGCACAACTGTTGTGCCAGTTAACTGCTCTGTGGCTGGTACTAGCAACAACAACAGCAACAAGAACAAAAAGAGCCAGCATTTCTCTGAGCCATCACAGGGGAAAAAATGTCAACAATAAATACTCCTTTTCTTTCTTTTAAAAGAACACTCAAACAAAGACAGAAAATGAAAAGCCATGAAATAATAAATTGTGGGAGGAAAATGGCAGCTCTGTTTCCCTGCCCTGCTATCAGCCCATGCACCTGGGGTTTGTTCTAGGGCTTTTTCTCCCTCTTCTCTCCTCTTTTTCCATTTATTGAGTCATTAAAAACTGGAGTGGATCTCCCCAGGCGTGCAGTGGGCAATGGGAACACTACCCAGACCCCACTGGAAAGGAAGTGATTAGGAAAAAAGAAAATCAGTTCACCTGATAATGGCACCTATGTTTCCATTGCCATAAGCTTTCCTGGTCTCTGTCCTTCTACGGACAGCCCACTTGACCCCCTCCCAAGGTTAAAAAAAAAACAAAGACGACAACATACAAACAAATTCCAGTGTTTCAGGGGTGCGGAAGTGGGAGGAGGAACCTCAGGGAGAGAAGTGGGGCCGAAGGGCACTCTGAGACATGAAGACACAAACAGAGTGTAATATACAGGCTGGGCAACAGTCGTTAAAGCAAATAGTAACACCTAAGCCACCGACCAATACAAACACCACAGAAGGGGACGAAAGTCGTCAAGAGAAATTAAAAAGCAAAACCAAAACCGAGAAAATAATTACCCAACCTCCCACCTCCCATACGCCCAAAAATTGATCTGTAAGCAAAGCCGCCCTCCCTCCCCGCTCACCCCAGCCCGCCCTGCCTGCCAGTGCTGGAAGCGTCCAAAGTCTCTGCCGAGCGCCCAGGGCTGGCTGGGGGCGTGCGTGCGGCTGCGGGGGGTGAGCGTGTGTGCAGTGTGTGTGCAAGCGGCCATGGCACGCTCAGCTCCGCTCGGCTCCGCTCGGCAGGGATGCAGGGGGAGTGGGAGGGCATCACTTGCGTGTACGTGTTTTTGTGTGTGTGTGTGTGTGTGTAGCAATGGGGTGCCGAGCTACACGTACCACTCCTTTTTGGAAATAAAAGATCCGTCGTTCTGTGAGACCATGTTCTCCGCTATGTCAAGCTGCTCAGGGTCATACTGGAAGCCGAGTGTCCTTTCGTCGTAAGGTTCGGGGTGCGCCTCCCCCTCGTCTACCGTGAAGTAAGGCCGCTTAGCATCCTCCTCGTATTTGTTAGGGCCGCCCAGCTTGCGCTCGCCTCCTGCATCCTCGTCCTCGTCTTCATAGGTGCTGCCGCCCAGCGGGCCCGGCTTCTTCTCGTCATCTGAGTCGTCGGGATACTGGAGGTTCTGGGCCATGGGGGGGTGATGTTGTGGGATGCCAGCCTTGCTGTAGCCATTGCCGTACACGTGCTTCTTTGTGCTGTAGTCACCCTTGAAGGTGTGACGCCGGCGCCGGAGTACCACAAAGAGCACCACGGCCACCACCAGGACCAGCGAGACTCCTCCCACTATGCCCCCAATCACCGGTGTGGGGATGTTCGGCTGCACCATGGATTTGCGATCATCAATTGGAGACGGGGTGTAGGGAAATTCTGGGTAGGAAAAGACAGATGGAAGGGGGAACAGTGTCAAACCATGCGGAAACGCGCCCTCCCTCCATGCTTTCATTGCCATTTTTGGGGGGTGAGGGGTGGGAAGATGAGGGTA